CATTCTGTGTTCTATCCCTTCTTCAAAACTCTACTAACAAGCTATCTTCTCGCTTGTGTCTCTCAGAATGAACTTGACCTCAACTTGAGCATGCTGGCTATCCTCCCCTGGCTCCTCCAGATCCTCTACCCAACCTTCTCCACCCCGCTGTGCCTCACAGAACCACCCTCTATGAATTAAACCTCCCAGGCTCCTTTGCTTATCCTCTGGTTTCCAGCTGGGTTTGGCTGAGGAAAGGCTCCACCGTGAGATCAGAGGGTGGGAAAAGGAAGGGTCTGAGGTATGTATTCCCCAATTCCCTTCCTGCTACAGTACCGGTTGGCAGTGGCAGCATTCCTACAGGTTACCCTCTCCTCCAGCTAAACTTTCAAGGTTCCAGAAGCTACTCTCTCTTTGCCCACTCAGGCCTAAGAATGATGATGACTCTTAACCCTGAGGTGTTTCACCAACCCCTATGGGTCTCCTTAACTCTGCCTGGCTTTGTAAACAGTCCTTTCCTCTCCTCATTCACACTACCAGAGGGTGCCAGGAGAGAGCAGATATAGCCAACCCCCTCCTCAGCCTGCACCATCCCATCTTCCCAGACGCCTATTTCCTCTTACCCCCAGCATGGTTTTCCTCTCAGTAGTTGTGTTCTATACATTTCCACATACAGACTGAGTCACTCTAAATCAATTCCCTATGGAAAATTCTTAATCCCAAAATGATTCCCAGGTTTGCCACCAATGTGTACAAACTGTATGTTTGGGAAGAGCCTAATTAAGAAAGCAAACAGTACTAAAAATTCCTGACACACAGACTGCAAAGCCAAGCCAAATACTGGGATTTGGCATTTATCTATTATTTATCACCCTTCCTTTAGACCAATGGCTGGAGGAATTATCGAACTTGTTATTGTAGTTTTGCTTTACCAGTAAGACTGGAACAATGCCAAACATGGTGCTCATCTTACAAGGGCCATTCAAACGGTCAACAAAATTTTAAAGGTCCTACCAGCCCTAATGAATTTTCCCTTTTTTCCCTAGACAATCCTACAAACAAGACACCAGATTCAAAGTCGATCTTTTGGCTTATGGCTCAAATCCGACCTGACATTCAGAAAGAAAGCATGCCTGAGAGAGATTCAAGGCTCAAAAGATAAAAGCTCTGAGATCTGGAAAGATTCCATTTTGAACCCAAAAAACAAAACCAAGACAGGCTTACTGTTTCCAAATCAAGAGTGCTTCAGAAACGTTGTGAAGGAAAGCATTTCTCAAGATTTTACTGTATTACAGAAGACTGTGCTGTATACGGTCCAATACAGACATTCCAAAGCAGGACTTGGTCCATGGACAAAATAACCCGGAGGAGCACTGGAACAGACCCACTGAACTCTAAGAAAAGGCCCCATCTCTCACCCACCTGAATGCCAGGGCTACACAGACGCTATTACCTGTGTTAAGGAACCCTAACCAGGGTTTCTCAACCCAAGCGTTACCGACATTTTAGGCCGCATAGTTCTTGGTGGTGGAGTGCTGTGTGCACAGTAGGGCCTGTAGTTGCATTCCTGACCTCTAGCACTCAGTAGGACAACCAAAAATGCCTCCAGACATTGCCGAATGCCAAGAACCTTGGCCCCAGATAAACTAGCACTCCACCTCCACCCAGCACTGCCATGGCGTGAATGAGTCACAGGATGAGAAAAGAGAAAAGCCACCCAAAGGAGCAGACTTACTCTTTTCTTAAAAGCTCTAAGTATTTGACAACTTACAAAGTGACACCATACCCTAGCACCAGGGAGGAGGAGAACATGGGTGAAAAGAATGTGGGCAAAGTGGAGAGAAACTGCTAAAAAAAAAAAAAAAAAAAAAAAAAAACTCCGGATTTGAAATCCTTCTGAAAGCATCTCGGGTCTCAGATGAATACCCTCACCCCTTTCATTCTCTTCGAAACACAGGTGGAAAGTACTACAGTTCATGACGTAAGTGAGCAAACGGAAAAACTCAGGCAAACCTTCCTTATCAAACGAGGGCAAAGTGTAGGGCAGGAAGGCACGGCAGACGGACGGCCACAGCCCTGCGGTATGGAGCAGGACCAGGCTTATCAGCTCCGGACTCTGGTTCATCTTCATGCTTTCGTGCCACAGGATACTGTCCACATAAGCAGTTTCCAACACTATCAAACCTGCCACCCTCTTGTTAGAACAAATATTTCGTATGCCCCTTTTATGGTTCTGAAACGGAATTCAAAGACTACCTGTGCGAACATAACTTTTAAAAATCGGCATAATGCCCTAACTGCCAAGGTAGGAGAAAATAAATAAGAAGATCTGTATCATGTAGCATGTATTTTCAGACAGGACCATACTAGAAAACAAAAGCACCCCCACATGGGTTTCCAAAGTGCCCCCCTCAGGGGACAGAGCTATGCTGCCCGCCCTGCCCCACACGAACCCCTGTCCCGTCACTCGAAGAGCTCAGCAACCTGTCCCTGTGCGCAGTGTGGTCCGAGGCAGCATCACAAAGCACAACAGGGGGCGCCTGGGTGGCTCAGTGGTTAGGTGTCTGCCTTTGGCTCAAGTCATGATCCCAGGGTCCTGGGATCAAGCCCTACATCGGGCTCCCTGCTCGGTGGGAAGCCTGCTTCTCCCTCTCCCGCTCCCCCTGCTTGTGTTCTCTCTCTTGCTGTGTCTTCTATCAAATAAATAAATAAAATCTTAGAAAAAAAAAAAAAAAAGGCAGAACAGAAGGAAGGATTTGACGTCAGACTAGCTGGAGTTCAAATGGGGCTCCGCCAGCTCACGGCGGCAGTACCCTCCCTGAGCCTGGTTTTTCACCTACAAGAGGAGGATGCCGGCATATTTTTCAAAGGGTTTTTGTGAAAATTCAATGAACATGGAGAGTATCTGTTTCCGCACCTAATATGTAAGACATGCTCAATAAATGTTAGCTACCAGCCGTACGTTATTATTCCTAGGTCCACCTTGGATTGCGAACCAGCTTATGCCCATCTTATTCCCCCAGCAGAAAGGATGGATGACGGGCTATCCATTCATCAGAGATGCTCTAAAAAGATTCACATACAATCTAAGTGAGAAGTCGCATCACGCGGCCTCCAAGATTGCTTCTACTTCTGTGGCTCTACAACACGCTGCCTGGCATGGAGGCTATTTGTTTTTTTATTACCTGGGGTCCTTTCTTCCCCGTTAGATGGCCCAAAACATCTTCCACTTCACACAAAGTAGCTAAAGAATGCAGATAATGACCGTTTACTGCCCTCATCAAGAACCCGGCCCTGGCCACTGGTGCTTTACCATTTGGCCTCAAGAACACAGAACAGGCAAAGAAGGAATGACAGCTTTCCCAGAGAAAGCACCTCAAGAAACATGTGCAGTATCCTCAGAGAGTTAGGATTCTCGAGAGCCAGTCACTGTCCGTGTGAATGCATTCCTTACACCAACAAGCAAATGCACACCCTCGATACTCTAGCTTATCAAATGAGGAAATGAAAACTAATGGTGGTGGCCCGAGAAAGGCTTCAAAACAAAACGGATGCCCAAGTTAACATCCTGAATAAAAAAGCCCTGACTGGCCACACCTTTCAAGAGAGCGCACGGGCCCAAGAAGTCACAAGCTCATCTCTGGCCATGAAGGTGCAGCCTACTTACACAAGGAAATCTTAATTTCCATCAACATACTGATCTGTCTGTAAGGGGAAAAAACAAACGGCCAATCCAATCGTTACAAACCATTCTGCATTAACCCTCTAAGGTGTTTATTTCTGAGTAGTGTCATCATTGGGGGGGTTGCTTCTTTTTGCTTATGTAGAGCTCCCAATTTTTCTAATACATGGCTCCTGCGATAAGAATTTAAAATCGCATAATAAATAAGGATTATCTACTGACAATCCATGAAATTTAAAGCAAGAAGCTACTTTAAGTGAACTCTTTATCAGGATCTTTGAATAAGCCAAGTATTTACCTCCGTCTCTAAAACCATCCTTGGTCTCTGCCTCAAACCAGCACTCACCAGCACTTAATTTCCTTCTTTATCCCTCCCGCAGACCTTATAGGTTTTGCCACTACAGAAAGTCAGCACTGGGTACTTAAAAAACAAAAACAAAAAAACCTCACTGCTAGTTGTTTTTTGTTTTTGTTTTTGTTTTTGTTTTTTTTGCCCATTTCCCAGTGACAGCTACCAGCTCTCTGGGAGAGTGAGATAAAGAGAGGGAGATGAATTGTTCTGAAATCAGTGTTTTTGCACAAAGACACATCAGACTCAGAGAAGTAGCTTATTAAAAACAAAATGCTGTTTTTCGAGATAGCTATTAGAAAGCCACGGGCTCCCCACAATACCCCCCAAAAAGAGCCTCTATGGAATCATAAACGTCCCAAGAATAAAAGCTCATTTTGGGAAAACACTCGTTTTGCAATGCTATTCTCCCTGCTGGGGAGGGGTGGGGGTGGGGTGGGGAGAAAGAGGCACAGAAATCTCTAAAGGAAAAAAACAGACTCTACCAAAGCAGGGATATTCCTCAGCCCAACAGAAAAACTTAAATTCAAATTAGTTTAACTCGACAAGCCTGTGTTAAGCACTTACTATAGACAGAGCACTATGACAGCTGTTTATTCATCTTTAAACATGTAAGACATGATTATCTGTTTTCTGAGGAATCTTAAGTCTCGTCTGAGAGACAAACGTTTATCAACGAGTACACGGCAGACGCAGGCAAATCTGAATACAAGTTTTAAAACCGTTCTGGGAGTATGGAAAGGGAGAGATTAAAATCAACTACAAGAATTCTGTAAGAGTCTTCGTATTCATTAAATACAAACATATTCGTATATGTAAATCAGGCATTTATCCATCCCAACCAGCACACCCGAAAAGGGGAGCAGAAATGCTCAGCTACCAAAAGCAAGCACCAGGAGCGAGATCCACACACTCAGATCCTTTCGACTAAAAATAAAACTTAAGGGACAAGTGCCTTATAACAAGGAGGATGTTTGGGAAAAGACTCACCAACATCAGAAGGTCCGTACTCGGCATCTTCCTCCCCCAGCCCTCCTCTCGGCGCCTCCCCTCTGCAAAAGGGAACCAGGTTTGTTTACTTCTCAAGCTTTTAAACTGTCGCCTCGGCCCGCCTAGAGTCGCAGGAGCAGTCAAGAAATGGTTCTCTCCCTCCTTTGAGAGCTCCGATTTCACTCGCAGCTAGGACACTCCACCCCCCCAGCACCCAAGCCAGCGAATCACAACCCTGCTAGCACTGGGCTTCCCTCCCACAGCTGACCGAACGAATCCAGACCCAGCCTCCCACCCAGCGAACCCCCCAGGTAGACACTCGGGGAAACGCCCAGCCCGCCCCCGACCCGGCCCCGGGGCCCGGGAGCCCAGCCCACCAGCGCAGCTGGGAGGAGGGTCGGACGCCGCCGGCAGCTCAGCTCAGCCCAGCCCAGCCCAGCGTCCAGCCTCCCGAGCCCCGCTGGCCTCGCCGCCGACTCCATCGCTCCCAGCCCGGAGCCCTTCCTCTCTAAGGAAGGATCAGCAGATCCCGCCGGCCCCGGTCCGCTCCCACCTCCGCGGGACGGGGGCTCCCTCTCGCCCCCCCCCCAGCTCCCTCAGAACTAGGGGCTCGGCACGCCCACACTCAGCCCGCACCCCTCCGTCCGCCAGGCCCTCCTTCCTCCTCTTCACGCCCCTACCCTGCCCACCCTCGAGTGGTCCGCGCCAGCCCGACCCTCCCTTTTCCGGAGCCGCAGCGGCCCCCTGCACTCTCCTGCCCCGAGTCCGCCGCCCCGCTCCTTCCCTCAGCCTCTCCCTCTCGCCGGCCCCGCTCCTCCTCACCACGCGACCGACTTGCCGGCGGCGGAACGCGGGCTCCCCCTGCAGCCGCCGCCGCCGCCGCCGAGATTGGAGGGCCGACCGCCGGCGGACCCACCCCTCCCTGCCCGGAAATGGCTCCCCAGTCCCGGCGTGCGCGACCCTGGCATCGGGCGCGCGCACGTTCCGGCCTGGAGACCGCGGGGTAGCGGGGGGGGGGGGGGGGGGGGGGGGGGGGGGGCCGAGGCCCGCCTCTCCTCCGGGCCTGACGGCGCGTGTGCGCCGCCTGCTGGCCAGGCAGGGACCGGCATCTCGGCGGGCCCTGAGGGATGGTGGAACCTGGCGACAGACCATCACCAGCTTCTCCTTCAGGCCGCCTTTTGTAAAAACCAACTCACTGGTCACATTTGGTCACTTGGAGCCCTTGAGAGAGTCAGCTCGCCGAGCACTGCACCAACTAACCCAAAGCAACCACTCAAAATTGGTCCCTAGAAAGACTTTTGGGATTTTAATAGGTGTCTCAGAGGTTTGCACCCTTTCTTTCCAGGAGATTTCCTTGAGGTCAATAATGCCTGAAGAAAAGCTACATGAAAACTCCCTAAAAGGGAATTATCCTCCCTCTTCTCCCCTCCCCCTACAAACATGAAGAACAGAGACCAGGTACTGGGCAAAAAACGTTACCAATATTACTTTATTTTCATGAGCAATGTCAGGAAGCGTCTAATACCAAAGTGAAAGTCCCCACCGGGACCACAAACGTCAGCCTTCATTTCCAGATGAAGTAGCTCAATCTCAAATATGTTTTTCATGACTTGCCCAGGAAACTAACTCAGCAGGAGCAAAGATAGGGTAGTCTCAGGTAACTGACCAGTGATCAGCATGCTGGTCATATTTTTTTCAACAGATTTAAAAATGACACCTAGATGAAATCTTGAAATCTTAACAAAAATGACGCGAATGAGGGTACCCAATTCCAACCCCTCGCAAATGTTGTCAGGACACTAACCCAGAGTGTCATCGCTGCCCCTGGTACCCCTCAACCAGGGCTCTCGGGATGGAATCCCTTGTTAGAAGGGCTGCCCTCCTCTGCACTTCCCAACCTCGCCCGCCAGAGTGGTGAAAACTCTGAAAGGGTCAAGCGGGTTATCTCCCGGCTTCCTCACCGTCAGCCCCACCCCATCGGAAATCCCAGACATCTCTGCCATTCAAAGCTCCTGGATCAGTCACAGACGCTCCCAAACCCTTACCCCCTTGCTGCTACCTCCCAGCAGACATCCATTCTCAGTGTGGAAGGGCCAGGAAATGTTCTGGGCCCTTCAGCCAATGTCAAATCATCAAGAGTCACTTTGAGATTCCAGGCATGATCTCCCCACTCCCCACTTCCCACTTCCACCCCTCTTCTTTATTTCTTCTTCCATCCTAGGATCTGCTGTCCCTCACCTCCTTCTTAGCTGCTACCTCCCATCCTTTCATCTAAAATCTCTATGCCAGCTGACTGAAGGACCAGGGTCCATCTCTGATCCCTCCCAACTCTTCTGCAGTACAATTTCGCGGCTCCTTAAAATGCAGCAGGCCGCCTGTCATTCTTCCCGGATGAACCAACCAATTCAACGTTATTGACTAATCCTTATTGTGGTGGACTAAAAGTTTGTCTCCGCCCCTTCCGGCCCCTCCCCCCGACCCAGAATTCATATGTTGAAGCCCTAACCCCCAATGTGGTGGTGGGGTCTCTGGAAAGTCATTGGGTTTTGATGAGATCATGAGGGCAGAGCTCCCATAATAGGATTATTGTCCTCACAAGAAAAGGAAGGGGCCGCAGCCCTCTCTGGCTCTCTCCCTCCAGCCACGCACAAAAAGGAAGTCATGTGAGCACGCACAATGAAGTGGCCCTTTGCAAGACAGAAAGAGGATCCTCACCAAAACCCAAACCTGCCAACACCTTTATCTTATATTTTGTTGTGACAGCCCGAGCTGACTAAGAAACTAACTTTGCCAAGAACTAAACTAGGTACCTTTACAACCAAGACTCTCTTTAGGTCCTAACTTGCCCAGATCAGCTGACTCTCATTACCTCCCAACTTGTAGATCAGGACACCAAGGCCCAGAGAAGGTGAATGATCACTCCTAAGACACACAGAAGAAGGGGATAGAGTTTTTGGATAGAAAGTTAAGGCTTTAGATTTTGGAGGGAGAGCCTAAAATACGTTGGTTGATTTATTAAATTCAAAGGTTTGAGGTAGAGGAAACTTCCACTCTTGGCCAGCTCAACCCCATTGCGTATGCGTGAGGAAACCAAGGCCCAGAAAGGAACATGACTCTTGGCTGTTGCTGGCAGAGCCTAGAGGTTGTGTGTGTGTGTGTGTGTGTGTGTGTGTGTGTGTGAGAGAGAGAGAGAGACAGAGACAGAGACAGAGAGACAGAGAGATTCAGATACAGAGACAGAGAGACACTCAAGGCCCCCAGCTTCTCTGCCCCACGCTCCCTCTCCCCCTAACCACAGGATAACATCAGGGATTACACCAGAAGCGTCAAGTAGATAGTGGCCAGGGATAAAAGAAACATGGGGATTAAGGGAGATAATTTCAGCCTTCACGGGGGAATCACATTATACTAAAACAGAACAAAATCCCCACAGCCTCTTGGTCTTATGTGTCCTAGCTATATCGGTGGGCCCTTGGGAGAAAGCTAGAGAGAGGAGAACAAAGGAGATAGAAAAGAGAGAATTACAATGCAGTGCAGAGGGAAGAGGGATATGAAAAAGCAAGAAGCATTGGCTAAGGAGAGGACACAAGCAAATCTCCTTCCCCTCTCCCCCAACCAGACTCTCTCAGAGTGGGGGCTTCAGAAGGACGGGTTGAGCTGGCTGGTGGGAGGCAGAGGTGGGGTTCCCTGGAGCTTCCGAACCCAGAGTGTGGTTTCCCCAGGAGCACCACTGGCATCACTGGGACACTTGCTAGAAATGCAGGTTCTTGGAGCCCCACTCCAGATGATGAATCTGAATCAAGCCCCCCAGGTAATAGACATGCACCCTAAAGTCTGACAGGTACTTCCTGGACACCCTGCTTGCAGAGAAAGTACAGTGTTTGTTTGGGATGGTGTAGGGAGATCGATGAATATATGAGGGGCAAGGGGAACTAATGCTCCCAAGTTGGCCTTCGGTGGCATCATGGTGCCTTCCTGGATAACAAAAATACTGGGAGCCATTGGAAATACCCATGGGGAACCAGCGAGGGACTGGAATTTGTGCTGATGACAGAGGGCTTGGGGTGGCAGGGGCCACAATGAGAAGAAATATAGTCTGGGAGGTTTTTTTTTCCCTACATGGCGGCGGTGTCTTTTTTATTTTTTTAATTTTTTTAAAGATTTTATTTTTATTTAACAGACAGAGATCACAAGCAGTAAGAGAGGCAGAGAGAGAGAGAAGGAAGCAGGGTCCCTGCTGAGCAGACAGCCGGATGCACGGCTCCATCCCAGGACCCTGGGACCATGACCTGAGCAGAGGCTTAACCCACTGAGCCGCCCAGGTGCCCCGGCCCCGCCTACATGGCTTCTTTTAAAACAATTCATGCCAGCAAATCGGGCTCTGCTTAAAATGGCAGCTCTCCATGGCCAAGTTAGTGACACCCCTCCCCCCATCCAGGAGCACACACGCCCCACTCTAAAAAGCAGTAACATACTACCCACACCTCCATTCTTGTCCCTGACACCTCCCCACCCAACTGGGGGCCTTCTGTGGAAGCTCACCTCAAGATAGGGCTATGGGCAGATGTTCTTGAAGCTTCTGAACCCCTCCTGGAAAGGAATGGCCTGCAGGAAAGCCCCCACGCAGGACCTCTGATCATGGAGCCTGAAATGCCCTCTCCACGGAGAGGCGGGAAACCAGCCACCAGCAGCAGGTTGGAATGACACAACAAGACCGGCCTTGAGAAGGTAAGCTAAGGGCTGGCCAGACATGGGGTGGGGGGTGGGGGGTGGGGTAGGCAACTGACATGGGGAGCAGGTGCCCAGAGTGTGCCATCCTGGGATAGACAGGAAGGTCCACTGGGTCACTGAGCTCCATGTCCCAGGTGCCAGTTCAGCCAAAAGTCAGAATGGCCAAAACCCCCAAGAAACAAGTCATTTCCCAAGGAAGCCGGCTTTTCCTGAGGAAGCCACCCATTGCTGTCTGGGCTACGGGATCACTTTGAGCAAACCCTCACACCCCGAGTGACTGCTTATCAGAAGCCAAATAAATACACCCTTCCTTGGGCAGAAGGAAACCAGCTGAGGCCTGTGGTGACAGAACTGCTTTGAAGGCAGGCACATTGGCCTCTCCCCAGAGATCTCTGCATTGGCCTCAGACAAGTGGGTCTCATGGTCTGAGCCTGGGCTTCCTTGGTTGTAGAACAAAGGTTAATAGCCTCTACCCGAGGGCGGTGCCGGCACCTCAGGAGACAGACGCATGTACCCAGCCATGGGCCAGGAACCCTCCAGAGCATTAGTCAGATCCACTCCACACGTGTCTAGGAGTTCAGGTAGGATTCCAGGCTGCGCTCTGGGACCAGCTAAACCAAGCCCGCCCCCTGACCTTGACCAGACCTCCAGGTCTGGCTTCATTCCCCATCAGGACCTGATCGTGACAGTCGGTCAGTCTTTCTAACCTGACTTTGGCTGCAGAGGGAACCCAAGGCCTTTTCAAGGCTTGTCCAAGAGCCTCCGATCTCTCTATGGTCTTCCTACAGGTTTTGTTTATCGATCGATACATTTCAGACCAACCAGACCCAACACTCCGTTTATGTGAGTTAAAAAATCTGTTATAAACAGAGGGTGTAGCTGCCTCTATGTAGAATTCTTACAGAGCAGCACAGTGTCCTAACTTTAAAAGTGAAAGCCAGGGTAATAAAATCACACATGAAGTTGGCACATGCATGAACTTATAATAGGTGGACTATGGTTTTTTTTGTTTGTTTGTTTGCTTTTTTAAAGATTTTATTTATTTATTTGACAGAGATCACAAGTAGGCAGAGAGGCAGGCAGAGAGAGAGAGGAGGAAGCAGGTTCCCTGCTCAGCAGAGAGCCCGATGCGGGGCCCGATCCCAGGACCCTGGGATCATAACCTGAGCTGAAGGCA